GTGATAACTGGATAGGAACTTGGAAAGTGATACAGAGAGCAGTGCTATAGCGCAAGATTGAAGTACCACAATACTACTACCACTAATACAATGTTCCAGCTTCAACGAAAAAACAACATCTATAAATCATCATGCATTCCGAATTCTTACACATAATAAATTCATCATCTGCTACTGATTGTGTCGCTCCAGAAACGTTTTTTTTCTAATCCTGTTAATGAAATGTTGGATTGTTTATGAAGGAATGCTCTGTTGTTGCTGATCTACGCCAAGATCACATATTAATAGGCATTTTTTGTGAATCGTATCTCCGAAACAAGTGTCAAAATTCGAGTGGACTGGTGAACGTAGACGAGAATCGAACCTCCTTGAGACGTGCAGAAACGGTACGGATCTGTTCTTCGTATGAATCCTCTCGTTGCAAAGCCTTCTCTTCGGAAACTTCCAACGATTTCAAGTTGTTACCAACGACTCGCAATTCCTCTTCCAATTCAACGATCTTACTGCACAATTACAAAATATGGTTACGATATCGATACATTTGACATTGTCACACAATACATAAGCATAAACTTACTCGATAATATCAAGTAGCTATTCAATCATTCGACTCAGTTTGAAATCTCAGGCTTTCAGGTGAATTTTGAGGTCAACAAAAGAACACTAGTGATATATGCTAATATGGAATGTGATGTGTGAATGTTCAAGACAACCACAGTTGAGCAAGCAAGTAAATTTATAGTGATCATGCTTCACCATGGATTACGGATACGGACGGCATGCATTTATACGCTCATTTCACAAGAGAACTGCTTAAGCTCAGCAACAACATGCTGACGATTCAGAAGTTGACAGTGACGACAACAACTACCACCAAGTTGGACTTGTTGCAATTGGAAGACAACCCGGTTCCTAGGATTTATAAGGATGATGATGTTGCAGTTCAAAAATCTCTCCCCAATCTCTTCTGTGAAGGTCCCGAAATTATTCTCCTGTCATGGTTGGATATCTTTGGACTCGAAAAAGATTTGAAGAATCGAAGGTAGTAGGGGAGTTGGGGTGGGGGAAGGGGGGCATCAGATTACCTCCTTGATTCGATTTTGCAGACAAACAACATGATCCGAGAAAGAGTTTTCACGCTGTAGAGCACGTTCCTCGTGGACCTCCAATGTCTTAAGGTTTATTCCGACAGCTACCAGTTCTCTTTCCATTTCGTGTGCAGCTCTGTTTAAGGTGGTGATAATCATATCAGAATATGAGAATGTTCAGTGAGTTAGTGACAAAATATTAATTGTTAACTTATCGTATATATCAGTCCAGTTAGAATTATCTGTCAAAATGTTTGGTTAGTGGAATATTTCGATATAAGTTTGGATAACGATCGAATGATGTGATATTAGCAAGGTTTAATTTATTAGGTGAAATTAGTTCAGCTGAGTATTTCAAGGCCCTTATTGCAAAGATTCTCAGGTTATAATATTACTTGTTATCGGATAGCTGTCAATTTGAAAGCAGTTAATGAGGATGATTGGTAAGCTATGATAACTCTTGACATCTTCAGATAGATCAAAATTGCCATTTTGGATCAGAAAATTGTGCTGAAACCTGAGAAATACTTCCGAATTTGCTCTTTCCATTTAGATTTCACGTTTTCTCGTTCAAATTTAGAATTCATGTCCAGCGAAGGTTTTCAAAACTGAGAAGATAACTAAAGATAAAAACCAGAGGGAAGATATCGATAGCCGGATAAAGAATAGTCTTTTGATAGTGTTATGAGCAATGAAGTGTTACAATTATCACTGTTGTTATTGTGGTGAGTGAGGAAATCATCATGGATGATTGTTTTCATGAGTATTTGACACCGTGATAAGTTGATTATTTTGTGAGTGAGTGGTTAGCAGTGTAATACAATAAAGGTTACAGAAGAGTTGTTGTGGTTATTTCAAAGGATTGAATACACTGTATTGAACCGGAGTGATATTATTACCGTTACTGTCCTTATATCTTAACTCATAGCTACATTGAGTGAGTATTTTTCTATCATTGTTCACAAGAGAATCTGTGATGGATGCACTGAATGAAATCGCTAAGAGACTGATTAAATTTGGAAACTTACTTTTCTCCGGCCTCTGCACGCTCTTCAGCTCTTTCTAAATCCGCTTCAACCATGGCCAATTTACGGGCAACCTGGAATTGAAGGCAAGTTAAATTCAGCTTAAAACAAACTGATATGGGTTAGAGATCACAGGAGCATAATGAAAACAACAAGTGTGAGATGACATCGATACAATATAACACAATTATGATGATTAATTTACAAAATCAACACAAAATTCGAATAAATAACGCATAAAAATCAACGATCAGCGTAAAAAGACGGCAGCAAAAATGATGACTCGGATGGCGGATGGAGGTGAAACCACCTGATGCTCTTCAAATATCCATCGTGATAGGGATTTCGGGTGGTTGTGTCGGTCCGCGTCGAATAATACGATTAAAATAAATGGACAGACATGAAAAACATATGGGACAATAAAAAAACAGATCAATGGGGTTGTTAGTTGGCTAATAGTAAGCAATTTCATCTGGACATTTCTTTCGTATCAGTAGGAAATCATAATTAATTAATTAGTTAACGAATAGTTCTTTTTTGTTTCGAATTCGTTTCAAAGCTTGAGATGAAGCTGTAGAATAGGCTTAATCCTTTGGTACAGTTCAGAGACGAATCACTCGGAAGTCAGTGTTTCCGATGTCTTTATCGCCTTGATCAATCTCATTTCGAGTAGTAATGAAACGATAAGGATTCTCTGTTGATCGCTTTTCATTCCATTTGTTTCATCCAGTTCAATTCGTTGACAACTCTTCCTTCCATCGAATGCACAGTTGTGGTGGTCGAGTGAAAGAATCACGACGGAACACTGATTCCTCAGTAATATACCAAATGTGGTATACAAGTGGATGTACGAATATATCACACACTTCAAACATTCATATGAACTGATCAAGTCATGCTGCATTCCAAGAGTGGGTATCACTGCGTTCCGAATACCCGTCTCTCAGACGTCAAGTCAGTCACTCGAACGGACATAAATGGTTGTTTTTGGGAAGTTGAAATCACCTCATCGTATTTGCGATCAGCCTCTTCGGCAAGCATTTGCGCTTCCTTGAGTTGTGATTCTACCGTATTCGCACGCTCTTCATCTTGGAATGAGCGGTTCTCCATCACCTTGCGCACACTAAACCCCACGCATTTAACAACGAATAGAGCAAATCTTTTTTTGGATTATGTTTTCTGTGGGAGCCACTCCTCAGAGATTATCAGAGATTCAGTTGCTTGATATCATTTGCCGTTTGGGTTCAGAAGAAAGTTTATCTCATATCAACGATTGTCTCATTTCTGAGACCAAACCAAGAATTTTGCAAAAACTGATTCCATACAAGCCTCAACTAGTCTTTTTTCTTTCAAATGATAGCTAGATCAAAAGTAACTTTCGAGTCAAAATTTGAGATAAGAAGGGCTTTTTTGCTGGAATTTTTGATTAATGGGGATTAATGTGACCCAAACATGTTCCAAGCGGTTTCCATATAA